ATACACTTGGCTACCATGGGAAGGGAAGGAAGCAGGGCAGTTCTGGAGAATCCGTAACAGTAGAAAGACTACCAAACCCCTGTTCTTCCACTGAAGGACTACTATTACTTTTAGCAATTTTAAACCCTATCTGATAGGAATTTCAAGGTGAAGTACAATTTTCTTTATATAAGTTAAAATTATGGTATAGTATCTGAACTAATGTTTTTTGTTATACCGTAACACAATCATCAGTGTTAACTTTAATATGGCCTTTAAAAACCTACGGTAAGGGCCGGCCTGGTGGCGCACTGGAGAGTGTGCTGCTTGGGAGCGCGGCGGTGCTCCCGCCGAGGGTTCGGATCCCATGTGGAGACCGGTTCCCGCTCACTGGCTGAGCGCGGTGCGGGCACAACACCGAGGGTTGTGATCCCGTTGCTGGTCCCCGGTACAGGCGCGACACCGAGGGTTGCGATCCCGTTACCGGTCAGTAAAAAAAAAAAAAAAAAAAAAGAAAAAAAAAAAAAAAAAAAACCTATGGTAAAAGTTCATATTGTTCTTATTGTTCTGTCAATGTCAACACTAAACTGTAGGTTAAGGGAAGCACATTTATATTCTCCATAATTCTATTTTGATATTTATCTAATTATGCTCTGCTGATTTTGATGTAAGGAATATTATTTTTAATGGAATATAATTTTCGTATTTTTCCTTCATAGAATGTAATTGTGACATTGTGCTTTTAAATATGTACTCATTTAAAAATTCTTTGGGAAATTGTTATATTTCATGCATTTGTATCTGGTATTATTTTCTTATTTATTCAGTAAAATATAATTTCTGGTTCCAAATAACATTAGGACTATTTACCAATTTTAGATGGAATTCATACTGATCCTGGAGTCTGATACTTGCTAAAATAGCTAAAGCATTAGAAATTTTGGCACTCAAGCTGCAAAGGTATTTTCATTCTAAGCCAGCTAGTATGATAATATGTAACTGAAATGGATTAGTATAAAAAAAATTTTTAACTCTATATTGTTTCTTCTTTCTCCTGAACCTTTTCTTAAAATGTAACATAGATAGCAGTCAGAACAGCGCAACATAAAATCAGACTCTCTTCTCGCCATTCCCATTTCCAACTGAACTACTTTTTCTAAGCCAAGCAGCTACTGATGCAAATAGACAGGTGGGAGCCAGAGGATTTCAGCAAAGTGGGCTGTTGTGATGCTTTTCCTCTTCTGAGACAAGCTCAAGGCTAGAAACAGAGCAGCCCTTGGAAAGGATTTAAGGGACCGGTGACAGAGAGAAAAAGACTGCAGCCAAGAATCACATATCCATTCAACTTACTCACTAGTCATAGTAAAAAGAGATATTTGCAGATGGGCAAAATGTGAGAGGACATTTGCATCTGCATATCTTATTCAAGAAAAATGCTTGAGCAGTGAATCTAAGCAAAGTAAAAATATTTATATAACATATTATTTTTAAAAGTTTGGTCAATCTAATATATTTATTTATAATCTAATATAACTAATATATTATTTATAATCTGATATATTTATCCCAATAGTTGGAGTTCATCCCTATATTCCGTAAATAAAATTCAGCAAGTTATGTCTGCATAGGCAAATATATTTAGAACAGTATCATATTTTATTTACTGGGTCAAGTGTATTATTTTGGACAGATTTTTCTTTTAAACCGAATCAAGGTCCTATTTTTAAGCTTTTCTGTATTTATAAATTAATTGCTTTGACTTCATGAGTATCCTACTGATTTAGTTAGGATTCTGAACTTGAGTCAGAGTCTTAATTTAAGTCCATCATTTACTAGTAAAGCAAGTTACTAAACTGCTTTTATTCCCTAGTTTTCTTTATCTTTGAAATACGAGTCCTATGTTATTGATTGTTGGAGTAATTAATGAAAAATAAATATATCTTAACAGTTGCTTTTATCATAAATATTAACTATCAAGAACCTTTCCTTAGAATGGTAATCGCCATATTTTCAAGACAGTGATTATAAATGGGGGCAGGGAGGGGGCTGCTAAGAGGGGGATTTCATGAGGTAGGAGACTTGAATAATATTGTTACTATTTTATTGGATGTCTGGTAAACATTCTGTATATTTTTCTGTGTTATAAATATTTATTAATTGTTAAAAGAATCTTTTTTTATGAAATACAAAACACTCTTTCCCATGAAATATCTTAACCATTAAAGTGTCTAAGATTTTTCCATCAAAGGACACTGCTTGCAAGGACACTCTGAAATGTATGCTTCATAATTCTTAGCTTGCTTAGGACCTGCTAGTCAGAATATCATTTCCTACTTGCCATTCTGGTTATGTTATATTACACAAAGTATCTAGTTTCTCTTGTGTGTGTTAGGTAAATGGCAGAGATCACAATTGTCTTGGTGTTGAACCTGGCCAATAGAAATACTGTGTTTGTTCTGCGCTGTATTTGTCTTCATAGTGATTTTAATTCTTGTGAAAAATTAACAAATTTCATAATCCTGGGCTTGCATTTCTGCGTGACAGTAATCAGTTGCTACTGAGTATCAGCTGCATCCTTTAGCTGGGGCATGTGGTCCATAGTTCTCTACACTCTCTGTGCTCCCTAATGCTGATGTCAAATGTCCTTTGCCATTTATCATCATAAATATTTGCATTAACTGCTTGGCCCCTGTAGGCATTTTAGTTTATGACTGTTAGATTATATTCAGTAGATGTCACAGTCTTCTATTGATATTTTGCTGTGATATTGTAATTTGATGTCACATATTTTCAATACTTTATAAATATAAACCATGCTTACATACATTTTCTCTGCAAACATGACACAAAGTACTCTTTTTTGTTTGTCAGCTCCTCATTTTCTCATAGTAAATCACTCCTGTTATACAGATTAAATATTTCTCAAATCTGATTCCTCATCAGACCTTTCTGGTAGTGCTTCAGCTCAGGCCCTCATCATCTCACCTGGAATTCTTCAGTTGCCCCCTAACTGAGCTCCTTACCTGCAGTCACATTCCTTTTGTTTGGTCCTCAAACATATTGGTAGAATGATGTATCAAAGTGCGTATCTGATCATATCACCCCCTGTTGAAAATTCTTCTGAGGCTTTCCATCTTCTAGGGCAGAGGTCAGCAACCTTTTTCTCACAGACCCAGATAATAGATATTTTAGGCTTTGCTGGTTATAAAGTTCCTGCTACAAATACTCAACTCCTATTGTTAACTTGAGCACGAAACCCACCATAGACAATATGTAAACAAATTCCATGGCTGTGTTCCAATAAAACTTATTTATAAAACCAGGCCACTGGTCCAGGGCTATAATTTGTTAAATCCTATTCTATGATATATAAGGCTCTCCTTGTCTCCTCACATATCTCATCTACCACTCTCCCATCTTGTTTCTTAAAATTTTTTCCAAAGCACCATTCAAATTCTTAAATTTTCTGAGCACATCTTCTTTCTATATCCAGTTATTTAATTTTCATTCAAGTTGTTGTTTTAAAAAAATTTTTAATTGACAGATTGTAATTATATTTATGGGGTACAATATGATGTTTTCATACATATTGTATAATAATTGGGTTGGAGTAGTTAATGTATCAATCACCTGATGCACTTATCATTTCTTGGTGGCAAAAACATTCAAAAGCATCTCCTCTAGCTATTATGTAATAGGCAAAATTTAACTGTTGACCATACTAACCCTACTGTGCAATAGAACATCAGAAACTATTCTTCCTATCTAATAGAATTTCATTCAAGCTGTTTTGTCACAAATAGCAAAACATTCAAAAGTATTACAAAAATTTTAATTCTGAAATGGTGATTTTTATATATAAACATGGGATTACTTAGGTTATTTATTTAGTTTATTGCTGATATCTTCATAAATGTATGGTGAGGTAAAGTCCTAAGTACTAAGAACAGTTTTTAACAAATCTTTCATAAAAATGATACAATCCATGTTATAGCTTGGATACCATTAATGTGTTGTCCAAAAATCTCAGAATGAGGCCACTGGTTGGAAAGTACTTTAGCTTCAACATTATTAACTGTATTGAACCAAGGTTCACTGAGAGAAAAGTTTTAGGACAGTTAATAGGAACGGAAAGCATGTAAGTCACATTGTATCCTATCTTTATCATAGTTTCTTCTTTCAAATCCATTTAGGAAAGCAGAAAACATTTGGTTTTAGGATCTGACTTGCCTGAAGTATTGAACTTCAAGTTGCTACTTAAATTCTAATGTTTCTGTATGCAAAATATAATATTTTCATATGCAAAGAAGTAACACAACTTGAGAATATGTTGTTAAATGTGTGGGTTTTGCCTCATTATTAAATTGCAGTTATTTATTTATTTATTTATTTATTTATTTTTTTCCTTTTTGTCTTTTTTACTGACCGGTAACGGGATATTTTCATATGCAAAGAAGTAACACAACTTGAGAATATGTTGTTAAATGTGTGGGTTTTGCCTCATTATTAAATTGCGGTTATTTATTTATTTATTTATTTATTATTATTTTTTTTCCTTTTTGTCTTTTTTACTGACCGGTAACGGGATCGCAACCCTCGGTGTTGCGTCTGCACCGCGCTCAGCCAGTGAGCGGGAACCGGTCTCCATATGGGATCCGAACCCTCAGCGGGAGCGCCGCCGCACTCCCAAGCGGCGCACTCTCCAGTGTGCCACCAGGCCGGCCCAAATTACAGTTATTTATGTTATTGCTGATTGGTACAATGTTGGGTAGTAAACAAAACCTTTTCCAGTAAGAATGAAAGAACCTCATCATCATATTAATGACAAGTGTGATTTGACTATGAAGGTGAGAGTAGATTGGTAGTACTGTTGTGATGGAACTTTGTTTAGATGTGGATGCATATTTATATTAATTATGAAAAAGTTCTCTAAATTTTCTGATACTCCTGTAACAGTGCATTAATTTAAAGCTCTGTCTGTTAAAACTGACCAGTAAATATCTTTTATGGTTGTTTTTTAGCCACCAGCTGAACAAGCCAAAGCCAGACTACAGCTGGTTCTTGAAGCCGCTGGTAAGCGTTGATAATTAACTTTTATTAAATGAAAAAGTGATAAATCCTAGGCTGGTAACATGATTACAGGTGAATCAAAGAGAAAAATCTTATTTTTATTTATTCTCACAAATTTATGATATCTAGGTTATATGTGTGGCCATATATTATCTGAAATATTTATTGCAAAAGTGTGATGTTAAATATAATGCTAAAAGGTCATTCTTTACCTTTTTTTTCATTGTTCCAAAGGAAATGAGGTTAAGTTTTTCATATTCTGACTCTCAAATAAATATACTATAGACTAAAGCTAATTATCATTGATATAATATGCATTAATTCTTCAGTGGTATTTTGCTTTGAAAAAATATTTCCAGTTAATAATTTGAGTTATTGACAAACTCTTGCTTTAAAGGAAATATTTGTTTCCTAGCCCGGAAAATATTTGTTTCTATTAATACAATTATAAAGAATTTGGTTTCTTAGTTTTGTATAGTTTTCTTTATTTTTTAATGTGATTTTGAGTCATACTATAAAACTGGTCTGATAGTCCAAACCTCATAGTGTATAACTTGCTAATATTCATCTTAGTTGTGACCCCTTTTTTTATAAATTTAACACTCTAAATTGTATTAATGATGAAGAGCTGGGTTCTGTGAATTTGAGAAACATTCAAAAATATGAAAGTTTTCAAATTAAAAGCCTTTTTGAAGGCCGGCCCATGGCTCACTTGGGAGACTGTGGTGCTGATAACACCAAGGCCAAGGGTTCGGATCCCTATATAGGGATGGCCGGTTAGCTCACTTGGGAGAGCGTGGTGCTGACAACACCAAGTCAAGGGTTAAGATCCCCTTACTGGTCATCTTTAAAAAAAAAAAAAACAACCTTTTTGGCCAGGATAAGTAAAGGACAGACCTAAGCTAAATGTAGCATTGTTTATTTAATCATTTTCTTCTTGAAAATGGGAAATTGTTGTCTTCAGCTTTTGTTGTCTTCAGCTTTTCTTTCTTAACAATAACACTGTAATGAACATCCTCTCATACATTGTATTTTTCGTATTTTAGGTTATTTTCTTGGGATTAGTTACTATGGAATTGACTATATGAGGATAGAAGGTATTAGTATTTAGAACAGCATTTTATACATTTTTGCTGAATTATTTTATAAAAACACTATGCTACTTTTCATTGCCACCAGATAAGTAACCATTTTTACCAGACTTTGCTTTCTGATGCCAGTTCCATGAATATATTACTTTCTAATAATGATGTAACATATTAAACTCCTTTGAAAAACATTAAGTATCCTTTTTAGTGAGAACTTGTGGCTTTGGAGAGGGGACAGATGGATAGATGGGGGGGGGCAAATAAGCACATACAGAACTTACTGTCAAGGTTCTAATTCTCTGTTTTGGTGATGAATTGAAGGTATTCATTGTATTGTTAAAAATAAACAAAATAAAGGGAGGAGGTATAAGAAGAACTTGCACACATTCTGGTAAGGCTTGTAGTTAGAATCTAACCTAGTCCGGGCCGGCCCGGTGGCGCACTGCTACAGTGCACCACTTGGGAGCGCGGCGGCGCTCCCACCGAGGGTTCGGATCCCACATACAGACCGGTTCCCACTCACTGGCTGAGCGAGGTGCGGGCGCAGCACCGAGGGTTGCGATCCCATTGCCGGTCCCAGTCTGGTACGGGCACGACACTGAGGGTTGCGATCCGTTGCCGGACACGAAAAAAGACAAAAAGGAAAAAAAAAAAAAAAAAGAATCTAACCTAGTCCTAAAGTTGAGGTAACTGGATAGGGAGGTCTGGTAGTACCTTTAGAGTTCACTTGAGTTACCAAGGAAATCACCCTCAACTTTGGGGCCTTAAAATTGGGTATGGGGAAGGACTTCAGGCCTTATGCCAGATTCTTGAGGCAGGATTTATGGCCTTAGGTTTAGCATAACTTGGTATATATGGGTCATATGTAGAAATCTTACTAATTAGACTTAGTCTTTTACTTTTGTTGTGAGTCTCAGGAAAGTTTTATATTTAGTAATTGCATTGTCACTGATTATATTAGTAAACATTATTTAGTTATTGAGTTAGAATTAAAATATATTTAGAGCATTTAGCCATGATTGTTGATGGTATGATTTTGAAAGACATAAAATAACATTAAGCAAAATATAAGTATAGAGTGTCATGAATATCAGACCAAACATGAATTTGAAATCTGAGATTTTATTGTATTTGTTATAATCATATTTTATATGCACTAAACTATTACATATTTGTACTTTGGTTCAAAACCTTGAAATTTTTAATCTTTGACTTCTCCATTGTCAGTAATTCACTCAAACTTAATTATTCTGATTTTAAAATATTTTTTGTATTTATCCCTTTATTGTGTTTCTCCTGCAATCTTCTTGGTCTAGACACCAAACATTTCACCCAAAGTTTATTCCATTACCTCCTGATTGGTTTCTTGCTTCAATTCTGTTACTTCTCCAGAGTGACACTAATGAATAGTGGAAATATCCTAAGCCCTGCCTTCACCACTTACTTGTCTTGTGACCTTGAGCAGTTTAATGTTTACTATTTAGCCAGAACAGAGTTATTGGGTTTTAAAAAAACCATGTATGACAGATGTGTATTTTCTAATTCACTACTGTTCTCTATTTTTTAAAAATTAGTTTATTGAGGTGAAATTCACACAACATAAAATTAGTCACAATTATTTATAGAACAGAGTTATTGGGTTTTAAAAAAACCATGTATGACAGATGTGTATTTTCTAATTCACTACTGTTCTCTAATTTTTAAAAATTAGTTTATTGAGGTGAAATTCACACAACATAAAATTAGTCACAATTATTTAAAGTGGAACAGTTCAGTGGCATTTAATACAGTCACCGTGTTGTTCAACCACCAACTCCATCTAGTTCTAAAATATTTCTACCACTCTTTACCTACTAGCAGTTTCTCCTCATGTTGCTTATCTCCAAGCCCTTGACAACCACCAGTCTGCCTGTGTCTGTATTTCTCTATTCTGCATATTTCTTATAAATGGAATCATATAGTATGTGACCTTTTATTTCTGGCTTCTTTCACTTAGTGTGTTTTGGAGGTACAGACTTGTTGTAGTATGCCAGTACCTCATTCCTTTTTATTGCTGAATGCTATTCCATTGTATGTATATACGCAATTTGTTTATTCACTCATCCATTGATGGAAATTTGGGAAGCTCCCATCTTTTGGCTACTGTGAATAGTGTTGCTATGAATATACATATACTTGTTTGAGTATTTGTTGGCAGGTTTTGTTTGGGTGTTTACCTAGGAGGGTAGTTGTGTGGTCATTTGGTAATTCTACATTTAACTTTTTGAGAAATCACCAAACTTTTCCACAGTGGCTGAACCATTTTACATTCACACCAGCAGTACACAAAACAGTTTCCTATTGTCTCAACCGGATCATGTCACACATTTAAGTTACCTGTTTGAAAGTATTTAGGTTTGGGGACTTCTCTGTGTCATAATTTTCTCATTTGTAAGAGGGAAAGATAATAAGTACCTTGTAGGATTGTTGTGAAGATAAATATTATAACATGTGAAGTGCCTAGCTCAGAGCTTGGCAAATAGTTTTCACCGGAAAATGTTTATTTCTGTATTGCTTTTTGTGAACACCACTGCTAGATGATTCCTTCTCAGGCATGATTTGATAATGCTACTCTTTGTTCAAAACTATTCAGTGGCTCTCAGATCCTCACAAAATCAGTTTTTCACTTCTGTGCTTAAGATTTTAAGGTTCTGTATGGTGGATCCACAGAATTTTCTAACTTTATTTCCTAGAATTCAATTCTGTGCTTCTTCTCACTGTCCTTTGAGTTACCCTTTTTTTTTTTTTTTTTCCTGCCTGGGTATCTTCACTCATGGTGTTTTCTCTTCTAGAAATATTTTCCTCCTTCCTTTTCCCCTCTTTAAAAACTTCAAGACACATCTTAAAATAAGGTTTCTATTTGATTTCCCTGACCATCCCAGCATATAATCTTTATCTCCTTTTTTGAATTCTTTTAATCCTTGTCTGTGCACACCATTCATGCTGATACTTATTCATACACCACTGTTACTAATATTTAATTGTTTCATGAATGTTAAACTTATTTTCCCAGTAAAATAAGCTTCTGAAGGTCAGGAACCAATTTTAAAACTTCTGTTTCTTTCCTAGCAGTTTTAACAGCACCAAAAGTAGTATGATACCAAATAAAATTTCAGCTATTAATCTTTGGTGAATAAATTATTGTAGAGAATCAAATGATCTAGATATCTGAAAATTATCAAATTCTGATATATTCATTTTAACCACTGTTTTGATGGATTTTATAATAAATACACTAAAAAGTTCCCTGGCTTCAAAAGCAGAAGATGTATGATATAATCTGACTATTTTATATTTAAACTTTAAAATAGTTCATGACAGAAAAGATAATGAAACATGATTATTACACACGGGGGAAGAAAACTCATTAGTTTAGTTAAAGACATCTTTGTCTCCATCACTTTTACTCTTATTGTTGCACTTTGAGACTTGTTAGTACCATTCCAAACATAATCTAGGTTTTCTGCAAAAATGCAGTATCATCTTATGTTAAGTGTGCTCATGGGTCTGAAGAATGATTTGGAGGACAGATTTTTCCAAAACATACATATTTTTGTCAGCATGCGATGGCAGCACTTCTCGCATAATTTTCGAGACAACTTTCTCTGGTCTCCTTAATATTTTACTTTTAATAGAATTATTAATGCATGTAATCTTTATATTTCCAATCTTATAAGAAAAAGTAGAAATTTCTTTTAGTGCATGTGTGGTAAAACAATGTACCATAGAAATCTCTGTGTAATAATATTTCATTTTTCTGGATAATATCTACAACCCTTTCTATTCAGTCTTATAGTTTTCAAAGCATTTTGATAAATCTTTTATCCTTTGACTCTCATCACTGCATGGAGAGCTAATTAACTCCATTTTACAAAT